TTAGGAAGAGCTGCAGAGAACCAATCTAGAATTGGATTCTTTCAAGGAAAAGATCAAGGAGAATCAAGAGAAGATTAAGCTCAACAAACAGCTTCCTTACTTAGTCGGGAACATAGTTGAGGCGAGTAATTGGTTCATCTTTTTTGTTCATTATTATATATTGAGCACTGCAACTCATATATGTGGAGAAGCTATGAAATTAGGGGTTTCATGGATTCTAGGTTCTAAAGTTTTTTGCTCAACAGTAAATATTGAAACTTCATATTGATTAGCTGGTTTTTTCTTTTGAGATACACTGTCAAAACTCAAGACCTAGATTGTTGGGAACTTGATGAATGTAACTTAGGAATCAATTTTGGGGGGCACTACTCTGATCATTAGGAGTAAAGTATGAGCTTCATAACATGGAATATATTTTATTACATTACATGTGAAAAACCCAATAGGACTTGAATCATTACTCTACATCCTGCTCTTTCAATAACTAGCTTGTAAGCTTAGATTTAATGTGGAAACACTTAGTTTTATTGGGAAAATAAAATCATTAATGCTATGACTTGTTATTTGTGTAAATTTGTAGACTGATACTAAATTTATTCTTGCATGTTTGGTAGTTTCATAGGCCAATACTTCTATATATTTATAACAGTCCTTCCTTGGTGGCATTGCCTTGAATCTTATTGCCTCTCTCTTTAAGTAGTGGTCTGTTGCCTGGTGATGGATTTCATGTGGGCTGACAAGGAAAAGTGGAAAACTATAAGATTCCTCAAGAGTAAAATCATTGTTTTCTATTGAAGAACATAAGAAATTCAGTTACATGATTTTCTGATAAAATAAAAGATGTAAACACTGCCACACTGGTACGTTATCTCTTTTGAGATGCTAATTAATTTTTGTCATTGTCAGATTTTAGAAATGAACCCAGAGGAAGATGCTGAGGAAGATGGAGCAAATATTGATCTTGACTCACAAAGAAAGGGCAAGTGTGTTGTACTGAAAACATCCACTCGCCAGGTAAGATTGCATGTTCTTGTCAATATTTTCTCTTCATGCCTTTGTTGGTATTCCTATTTGCTGAAGTGAGTGCCATTCAGTTTCAATGATGCCTGGTTGTCTTCAGACTTCAACTGATATTGATTTGCTTGTTATGAATTGTAGACAATTTTCCTGCCTGTGGTTGGTCTTGTTGATCCTGACAAATTAAAGCCTGGTGATTTGGTTGGTGTGAACAAAGATAGTTATTTGATCTTGGACACTTTGCCATCTGAGTTTGATTCTCGGGTTAAGGCAATGGAAGTTGATGAAAAACCAACAGAGGACTACAATGATATTGGAGGCCTTGAGAAACAGGCATGTATTTTTTCTTCACAGTTGAACAATTATGTTGTATGGATTAACTGTACATTTTGTTTATTCTTTTAGCATTTAATGTAGAAATCCTCTAATTTTGCTTGGAACTGTTACAGATCCAAGAATTGGTTGAGGCAATTGTTTTGCCCATGACACACAAAGAGCGGTTTCAGAAATTAGGAGTTCGTCCACCCAAAGGTGTTCTTCTATATGGGCCTCCTGGGACTGGAAAAACTCTTATGGCTCGTGCTTGTGCTGCACAAACAAATGCTACTTTTCTTAAGCTAGCAGGTCCCCAACTTGTTCAGGTATTAGATTTCTTGCAATCTTGTTAATATTTATTTTCCATACATCTTTCTTTGCTTTGCCAACACCAAGATATTTGTAAATTAGTGTTTTGATTTTTTAGATAGAATTTGACACATGTATTTTTTAGTTAGATAGTTAGTGTGGTTATTAATAGTATAAGTTTCAATAAGTTTGATATGTATGTGTATATATATTCTGTATCCTTAGATTGATTATGAAAGTTCATTGTTGACATAACAACCATATTATTATGAATATAGATGTTTATTGGAGATGGAGCCAAACTTGTCCGTGATGCTTTCCAGCTTGCAAAGGAAAAATCCCCTTGCATTATTTTCATTGATGAAATTGATGCTATTGGCACAAAGCGTTTTGATAGGTACACTATTTACCTGGCATTTTCAATTGTACTTGAATAGCTTTGTGCCTCCCTATGCAATATTTTTTGCTGCTTGTTGTTGTTATCATTGTCTGATGGGTGAACAAATGGATCACTTTTTTCCTGCTGATTTGATGATTGTTCACTGTAACTGACTTTTTGTTCATTATATGCACAGTGAAGTCAGTGGGGATCGTGAAGTCCAACGAACTATGTTAGAATTACTGAATCAGCTTGATGGTTTTAGCAGTGATGAAAGAATAAAGGTATATTCTTTGCATGATTAAATCCTTATGATACCATCTCTCTGTTTGGTGGTTGTTTGTACTACTGCCAGCTGCCATTTTTCTGGAAGTGTAGAAATACCCTGGCTTGAGATTTTACACGTGTACACAATGGTTGCCTTTTATCGTTAACAAGAATGTGTCAGTAGACTTGTGCTGTTGTTCATGTTGTCCTGCTTCCTGCCCTTCAGGTCATAGCAGCAACAAATCGGGCTGATATTCTAGATCCTGCTTTGATGAGGTCTGGTCGATTGGATCGTAAGATTGAATTTCCCCATCCTACAGAGGAAGCCAGAGCTCGGATATTGCAGGTAAAGCCTTGCATAAGGATATCTCAATAATCTCTCTTTTTTTTTTCCTATTTGTGTTTTGACTTCTATGTAATGCACTAATGCCATGAAATTACAGATCCACTCCAGAAAGATGAATGTTCACCCAGATGTCAACTTTGAAGAGCTGGCTCGTTCTACAGATGACTTCAATGGGGCACAATTGAAAGCTGTTTGTGTTGAAGCAGGCATGTTAGCACTCCGGCGGGATGCTACTGAGGTCTTTCCCTTGACCCTTTCTGTTGTTCGTTAAAGTGTGTGCAAGGGGTTTTGTCGCCCTTGGGTCGGAAATTTGGCATGCCATGCATCCTATAAGCTTTAGGAGGATTTAATATGAAACAAACTCCATACAATTAAATATCAAGAAGTTGTCTAGAAAACAACAATAAACATCCATTTTTTCTTTGTCAATTGTCGCGAGCACTCATTGTAATTTGCTTGAATCTCCCACAGGTTATCCATGAAGATTTTAATGAAGGCATTATCCAAGTGCAGGCTAAGAAGAAAGCCAGCTTGAACTACTATGCTTAAAATGGAATCAGCAAGGTGGGAATGTTACTTGTTAGATTTTACATTTCAGATGAAGAGCATTTAGCGATTACATTTCAAATCCTAGCCTTCTTATCAGGAATGGGAAAGAGAAATTTATGTGCTTGATTCTGTGGTCTGTAACTTCATATTGACAAATTGTTAACTGCTTAGATCTTTTGACTTTAATTTAAGATATTCACAGAAGTGGGTTCTCTTCCTAATTGGACTTATTTTATGATTCTCCCACCAGTGTTGTCCTAGTTTTGTTGCAAAATGGTTTATGCATTTGTTTTAACGAGTTTGTACTTTGTAACTAGAGGTGTGACTATGGAACAATTTTATGACATTAGACTACAAAATTGCTGGTAAAGTGAAGTATAATTCTGTTAATTAGCTTTATACTCTGATTTTCTTTGGATGACAAAGGAAACTTCACAACCTTTTTTGTGTGTGAGTAAATCTTTTTGTGTGTTGAGTAAATCTTGCATTAATCCTAATTGTCAAAGGACCAAAAGGGAGTAAACCAACCTAGGTTGCCTATAGCTGATCGGCTTAAATTAAGGGACAAAGTTTTGAACTCGTGGCTTTGTGATTATAAGCGGAGATCTTTTGTCATCTTGGTTGGGATTACACCCCTTGTACTCCTTGATTTGGTTTTATAGGAGCTCGTGGTTGATTTAAGGGTGGCTAATAAGTAAAAATGACTGTAATTTGACAAAACTAGCATGTATTTAAAAATTAGGACGTTTTTTAAAGTCAAACAAAATTTAGAAAGACATTTGAGAAATGCATTTTATGTTAGTCTCGGTCAACCACAAACGCAACTGGAAGATGCGAGTCTTTTTATTATTATTTTTTTAAAAAATTTGGTCCCCGGCAACCAGTTTTAGTCGCTGGCTTCTCCGACGAAGGAGAATGTGCCCAAACTGGTCGCCTTCTCCTTTGTTGGAGAAGCCGGCGACTAGTTTTGGTCGTCGGTTTCTCCAGCGAAGGAGAAGGCAACCAATGGCCTTCTCCTTTAACTGGAGAAGTCAGCGACTAGTTTTGATCGCTGGTTTGATTGGACTCAAATTGAAAGTGGACCCCATTAATATTTGTAATAATCACTTATTTATTTTCAAGCTATTTTTCAACAATATGTTTTTAATTATGTTATATACGGATATGAATTTGATTCGGATATCAAATGTAAAAATCTTACACATATTTAAAGGTAAAAAATATATTTATCAATTTAAATTAAATATATCCAAAATAATTTTAAATATAAAATTTTAAAATCACTCGAAATTAAATTTGTGTTAATTTATAACATCAGTCTAAAAAAATAAATTTGAAAAAATAAATATTATTAAATAAATTTTTTAAATTGAAAACGGAGACTGAAAATCAAAAAATTAGAAAACAAAAAACATTTTTATGAAGTAAACTGACCATAAGTTTTTTGCTTTGGAAAAAAAAAATAATAATAATTTTAGATTTCAACTCCAACCTTAACACCGACCCAGAGTCTTCCCACTTCTGTTTTTGAGTTTCACGTGATATTCTCTTCACATGTAAACTGCTGTCCGAAACAAAATGTAAAAGAAAAAGAAAAAAAAATGATAGTGCCACGTCAGAGCCGTCAACCACTGGCAGACGCGTCGGGGCCCACATGCCCACGCAAGCTTTGGCAAAAATAAAAAAGTCAAATTGATCGGCACCGTCCTTAAGTCCACGTCATACGGACAGTTAAAGGATAAAAATCGCAAATCTAAGGGCCGTAAAACAGGCGGTGATGAACCCACCCCCCACCCACCACCCAACCCCCACCCCCTACCCCTACTTCCCCTCTAGGCTCTATCCATCTTCCTTCGTCTGTCTGTCTGTCTTTATAGTATTTCCAAATACAGGCCCTCTTCTCATCAATGAAAGCTGTTAATTTATCACTGAATCGAGAAAATACAGATCAAAAAACTTTGATTTTTTATTTTTCTTTTTGCGAGTAAATCAATAAATAATTTTCATTTTCATATATAAATAAATATAGAAAGAGAAAGAGAGAGAGGGAGAGAGAGAGAGAGAGAGAAATAGGGGTTAGGGTTGCGTAGGTATGGGATTGGGCGATATGGATCTTCTGGAAGACGGTGATTCGGGAGGAGGCGGAGAAGGAGGAGGCAAGGCGTCGGCAGCGGTGTCGTGTTCGATTTGCCTGGAAGCGGTGACCGATAATGGGGATAGATCCTGGGCTAAGCTTCAATGCGGCCATCAATTCCACCTCGGTTAGTTCTATTCCTAGCCGTATGTTGCCCGATTATGTAATTGAGTTGGGTGATTTTGAGATCTGATTAATTGTTATCGCTTTTTCGGTGATCAGAATTCGTCTTATTTTCCATTTTTGAAACTTAGTTGTTGGCTTGTTGATGTTCTGTAATTTTAAGTGAATTAAAGTGGTCGATGCACTGTTGCATATGTTCTTCCGGTGTTTAATTCTTTTGTCAGGTTGAATTATTACGTGATGAGAACCCCCGGTATTTGCCCTCTGCTAAAAATTAAAACTTTCCTCCATATTTTCCTCTATGGAAAAGTCTCACATAGTGTTCTGAATAGTGAAAAACTGTATGAATACAAGTGCACAGAGGTTTTCTCATGAGCTGAATAGTCTTTAATGAGCTTATAGGACTAAGATAATTCAATTTTGCATCGTTATATATTGGTTTATGATTTTCTGGGCAACATTTTTGGATTAAAGATAGTAGATAATTATCAATTTAGCTCAGTGGATGTTGTTAAATGAATTATATTTTTATTACAGAGTAGTATTTAGCATTTTCTGCATTTCTCTTGACACCCTCTTTCTCAGGTGAGGGAGACTTCTTTGATTTGATTTTCCTGACTATTTGTTGGAGCTATTGATTTTTATCATTAAATGTGAAATTAACTGAGTGCTTGAAACAAGCTTTTTCTTCTCTCAACTCTCAAGTAGGTGCTCAGTATTAGGATTTTTTAATTTGAAGTTTTTACATAGTGCAAAAAATGGTGTTTTATTTATTCACTATTTGATTTAATTATGAGGGATCAAAATAAACTAGTAACTGGTGGTTCCTTACAATGAAAAATGGATGAGATTTTATCTGTTTAATTCATTATTTACTTGTTTTTGGGCTGATTACCAAGCTGAGGCACAAACTTTGCCTAACTCATGGTAATGGAACAACCAGTTGTGGATCAAACATGAGGTTACACTAAGTCATATAGAACACGTTATGCCGCATCCAATTTTCTGTTACTTCCTGCTAAAGTAATACTGAAATACATGGAATTAAGGTAATGTTAAAACACATGGAAATCTTATATTGGTCTTACTACATGCTTTAGTATTCTTTCTAAGCAGAGGACTAAAGGAAGTTGATCACATTTGTCTTGACTGTTAGCATTACACTGTTATCTTAAATTTGCACCCCAATAAGTACTACTTCTGACCTATCTTACCTGTTTTACCTTCCTTTTTAATCCATCAAAAAACATTATCCACTTCCCTAAAATAACCATACTAGCTTTTTATTTTTCCAAAACTACCCTTATGGATTTCAAAAACTTAATATACTTCTGGGTTTTCTAGAAAAATGAGCCAAGCAATTCTTCTAGTACCCCTTTCTTCTTCAAACCCAAATCTCTTTCCCCCCATCCCCTTTCTAATGGCAAAATCCCCATTCCCAACCCATCTAATTGGAAAAGGGGGAATGATCCCAAACAACCAATGAATTCTAAATAGGAGAAACTAATCACCAAGACTTTTTGGAGATCACTAGTGCTGCTTCAGTTTTGTCAGGAAGTTCCATCATTGTTCTCCAATTGATGTCTCCATTTGCCTCCTGTCTTCACATGTGTCAAAAGACAAATAAGATTAAAGCTTGTCTGACAACTGACAAGAGCACAACGATACACCGTTTGAACCCCAATCTAATACACAACACAAATAGCTCATCGTTTTAGCAGTCAGATATGCATTGTTTTGTGTTGGAATTATTGACAGTAAATAGAGTAAGCATTTCAGATTTGAATTTCTTAAATTTTACAGGATTTGAATTGTCTTTTGGGTTTGGGCGGATAAATGTTGAAATGCGAAACTCTAATCTGAATATTTTGGATGGAGGTAGACAAAAGAAATGAGACTGTATTTTGAGGTTTGATTTCTGACAAATGGAGTCATGGAGGAGAAATATGCTGGTATGGAAGTAGATGGCTTTGTGAAGCATCTTTCTTCCAAATGGAGCAAGGTTAAAAATGGAAAATAATGTGCTTTTTTATTGTTTCCTTAAAATGTATGCAAAAAAGTAAAGTGGACAAACATTACAGGACAGGGAGTAATTCTTGGTCATTCCATTATTGTAAATTGATGCAAAGTTTGTTCTTTATGCAGTTTCATTGTGCAACTTGATAGTGTTGTTTTTATCAAATTTTCATTCAGTTTGGGCTTTGCTAAATGACGCTTTTATATATGGATTATGGATTGGAGAGTTCGTTTCTCATTAATTGGGTTGTACTTTTTGCTCTGTATTGTATAAAGTGAAAAGCAAGTCATATTTTCTTCTCTTGTTTCTTTGTCCACCTTCAGATTGCATTGGATCTGCATTTAATGCAAAGGGAGCAATGCAATGCCCAAACTGTCGAAAAGTTGAGAAAGGTCAATGGCTTTATGCTAGTGGTCATCGTTCATTGCCTGAGTTTAGCATGGATGACTGGGCCCATGATGAGGACCTGTATGATCTAAGTTTCTCTGAAATGGTACATACACAGTTTACATTTACCTTTTGAGCAGAATGGCATTCTTCTAATATTTTTTTGTCGAAATGGATTTACAGCAATCTTTAGTTTCCTTCATGTTGAGTCTTCAAGGTTTTTTGTGGAATTGATTTTACAAGGTGCATGTGACTATGTTACTTGTAAGGTGGTCTAGGATAAAAGACTATGAACTTTGCATAACTAATATAATTTATATTGCCTAAATATGAACAAGGCATCTGTAAACAAGTAACAACTTGTGGTTTTTGGAAAAAGTAAGAAAACTGTGCAATGGACATTATAACCAATATGGAGTCTAAGATAGCAGGAATGTTGTTGGCTGCCAACGTGAGGAAAAGCATACAGAAATGCTACAGTAGATGTGAAGAGCAACAAGCATCTATTAACTAAAGTTTAATAGTAAAAAGAAGCAGCGAAAAAAGTTTTAAATTTAAAAAAGTAAAAAATAAAAAATAAAATAAAAGAGGGATAGGAGGGGGTTTCAGGTTGAGGATTGCTTTCTGCAGCAAATAGGAAGGACATAATGTTTCTGTCTATTTGCTGTGCTGGGTTCATCATTGAGATCATTAATAATGAAAATAAAGGTGACTCGGTTTTTTATAGATCAATCCCTCAAGTAACTAAAAGGCAAGCGGTTTCTGATAATTACAACATGTCGCAAAACTCCTTGTTTGCGATAACAGGAAGTATCCCTATCAATATTTTTATAGGAAGAAAAGAAAGGGTATATATTCCATATATTATAGAAAAAAAAATCTTAATAGAAAATATTTTAATTGGGAAAATATCTATTTTGATCTTAGAATAAAAGTATTTCTAGTTATTAACAAAGTTGTATGCACCTAAACTGTGGCCACACACTGCCAATTGCTACACACTGTCACCAGTGCTGCTAAACATGAAAACCATTGTATTATGTGTGTATGTGTGGTACATCTAATGGGAACAGAGATTGCACTTTGAGATCTCTACTTTATTTCTCTAACCTATGCTACTGAACTACAAGGTCCTCAACATTTATATATCACATATATGTTAATTCCAAATCAATTATGTGCCTTAATCATGAAAACACAATGATTTTAAATCTTTTGTGGATCCAAAAGTTAAGAGCTATCCCTAATTTTTGCTATATATACACACACACACAAATAAATTTTTTTATTACACATGGCTCTAGAATTGCAAAAAAAAGAAAAAAAAAACAAATAAATTTAAACTAAATAAGTCACGGCTGACTTCGCGTCAAATCGGCTGAGTTAGGCGCCTAGTCGGCCGGCTAGGCGGCGCCTAAATGGAAACTCGCCACGGTTGGGCAACGCCTAGGCGTGATTTTTACAACTGTGGTCAATACATAAGTGTAATTATTTTTTTTTGGTAGGGAATACATAAGTGTAATTATTGTATCTACTCTTTAATATTTTTTCCTAATTTATTCGTTGTTTGCAGTCATTTGGAGTTCATTGGTGTCCGTTTAGTGGATTAACTCGACTACCTTCATCTTTTGAGTAAGCACAATTCTACTCTTGAAATTTTTTTATTTTCCTTTTTTTTGTTGAATAGCTGACTTTAGGTCAAACCTGTTAGAGATTGATTACATTTTGTAAGGATTTTTTTTTGGATGGTTTCAATAATCTTCTTCGTCGTAAGATCTTGAAACATGCAGTGAGTAGGGAAAAAGGTTGTTAAAAGACATGTTGGTAACTGTTCAAAGCATGAGTGATTTGACTAACTGAAAGCAAATTAAAAGACATGTTGGTAAAGCTCAAGACAGATGATAACGGGAGATGAGGAATTGGATTAGCAGTGCTAGTCCCAAGCACCTTAGATGTGGATGGAGAAAATTGGAAGGTAGATAGGGGCTAGAGTTTTACCTGTCATATGATTCGTGGCACAGCCGAATCAATAACCCATTTGGAAGCTGAAGAGACTAGGCAAGTATTGGGATTACATGAAGTTGCAACAACTACAATTGAGGCAGTTGATGAAGATTCTTAGTACCTTAGGAACTTAGCATAGTCATCTACAGAGATTAAAATTGTTTTCTTAGAATTAGCATCTGAAGACACCACCATGCGGAAAACCGATTCCTATGATTTTTATTTTGAAGCCTCCAACAATCCTTCTTCATATGCCTTGGCTTCTGGCAATAATGACAGATTATTGTATTGGGATGTTGCCCCTTGGGGGTCCCTACTTTGGTACGATTGCCTCCCAGACTTACTCGTAGGTTTCTTGCTCACAAGGATGCTACTCGACTGAGGATTCTGTGCGTAGTAATCTAGAGAATACATCTGATAGAGATTTGAGCTCCTCACCTAGGATTTAGCTGATTCTAACCGAGGATGGGGTCCAACCAAAAAGCTCATCATAGCCATTTGTTCTCACCTTCTGCTGTTCTTTGATATCCAATGTGAATGACATTAACTCATTAAGGGCCTCATAAGTTTTCTTGAATTCCATAAAATAAGTCTGTAGAGGTTTGTCAAGCATTTTGGCACGATAAAAAGCCTTATAAACATCATAGATTCGAATAATATTGCCCTTACCCGAATACAAAAAATTTAGATATTCTAACAACTATTTGACAGTTTCACAGTGGCTGACGAAACCAAAGACCTCATAATCAATGGAATTTCGTATTTGAAGAAATATGAAATTCTTTTAGTCTTTTCATCATCATGTGGGTTTTGAGGTTTTCAGTCATATGGTCATCTTTTTCAATGCTATGTAGATATTTTAATGGTTTGTTACCATTCAAGGTCTTTAAGAGCCATTGAGTTTGTGTTATGTAATTCTTGTATTGACTGGAAGAATATCAGACACAACTAAGGACTTATTCTCAGCCATTATGCTAATCAAACAATTAACACGAAGCAAACTTGATACATACCCAACTTAGGTAAATAATTTGCAGCCACACATTGTCAACCAAGCCCAGGACAGTGTGGTAGACGAACGGGCGACCCCGGGAAAGGGAGCTGGAGTGGATTCTCGCAACGGAGCAAGGCAAGTGATAGCAGCGGTGCATTGTGGACACTCGCAGTTCAGAATCACCCCTAAACTTGCAGACCGGTTGACCAGCGACTCCTCTGGTGCGGGCAGTGGCTACAAATGGCCCGCAAAAAACCCGACTCGAACTTCTTGCCGTGCGCACAGAAAAGGAAGAGGAAAAAAATACGGATTTTTTTTTTTTCTCAAACCTGAAGCTCTTGATAGTTGATACCATGTAAGTCTAAGAGAAATCTGTATTTCACACACCACGAAGACAAAGGAATGCACACATATATAAGGAAATCAATCCCTAAGGTCCTGCTACTAGTGACTAAATATATGCCCTACCATGTATAATGTCTAACACTGACAATGTGATCTAGCATATAATTACAGATACTCATGTATGCACCTGCAATTTTCAAGATACGAAAGAAGCATGTGCAGCCTGAAGAGAGCTAATTATCCCATATTCCATCAATCCCATTTTGCAATTATTGATCCTATCTCCCCTAGGCATGCGTAGGAGAGTGCCATAATTATCTTCTATTTTATTGCTATACAGATGTGTTAAGAATATAAAACAAATAGCTGTTTTATCATACTTGACCCAGAAGGGATTATAATAATTGTCTTCAATTTGGATGAGAGTGGATTGAAACATTTTAAATGATGCAGCAAACCTGTAATGGTTGAAAAATTATATGGTTGGGTCTGATTTGGGATGGAGCAGAATGTGAAATGAGGGTTCATATTACCGGTTGTGGATCATGGGATAAGTACTGACCTCGTTTGACTGGGTTTTAATCAATCATGAATGTGTTTTGAGACAGTTCTCCATCCTATCTCTTTATCATTCCCCAAATGGAACATGGTCTCAAGAGATGATTAAGTGTTCTGAATATTGAGTGTGATGCAAATAATGGGGAAGAATTTAAGTTTCTGCTCTCTTCTGCTTGCAAATTTCAGTTGTTTGCCGACATGCTTGTCCTTTAATTATTTTCTTGTATATATACTACTAACATCCTCTTCACTTTTTATATTTGCAGTGAAGGAGATTTTGGTTCGAGTGCATGTAAGACTTTGTACTCTTGGATTATGAGTTACTTTTTCATATGTCTCGGTTGTGATAGAAGCTTTTGCATTATTGTAGATCATGATCTTCTAGGGAACCATGCTGTTTTCGCTGAACATACTGCTGCTGTCTCTTCGTCCACTCATCCATGCCCATATATTGCCTATGTTGGTATTCATCCAACATCCTCAAATTCAAGTGGAAGTGTGTCTGATGGTCCTAATTTTAACAATCACTGGAGCAGTTCAGCTGTTCCAAATGAAATTCCAACAACATATGCTTTTCCAGGCATGGATGTCCATTATCATGGGTGGGAGCACCACCATTCATCTTCTTTTCCTACAAGTAGCAGCCGTATTGGTAATACTGATCAGCCCTCCATTCCCTCTGTTTCTCAGAGAGCTGCTAGAACAAACTCTGATATACCAAGACCTGGATCTTTTGTCCACCCATTCCTTGTCAGTCACAGGTAGAAGAAACTATAACTATTCCATGTTAGTTATGGATTATTGACTTAAAAAATGTTTTGCCAACTCAATTCCTTATATATTGCATGCAATTGCAGTTCTGGTCGACCTGGGAGTTCAGTTGCCTCATCAATGATTCCTCCTTATCCTGGAAGTGTAGCTCGGGCTCGTGACCGTGTTCAGGCTCTTCAAGCATATTTCCAGCAACCCAGCAGCAATTCACCTGCTGCCGCCGCCGCTGCTGCTGCTGTACGGACGCCAGTTATGTCTGGTGGTCGGAGATCCAACAGTCACAGGGTGGTCCCTCAAGTTGGGCCAGTGGCATCCTCGTCTGATCAGGCGGCGGGAGGCTTTTACTTCTACCCATCTGCTTCATCTGGAAGGAGCTTTCAAGAAGCAGAAAACCCTAACCGATACCACAGTTGGGAGCGGGAACACTTGCCGGCCTTCAACCTACCCCAGCAGCAGCAGCAGGAGGTTGAAAGAGATCAAATATGGGGGCCATATCACCATGCACAGGCACAGGCAGGCAGTGGGTCTGATTCCGGTATCAGATCTGGCAGCGGTGGTGGCGGCAATTTCCGTCAGAGGCATGGATCTGAAAGGATGCCATCTCAGAATCGGTCATAGATTTGCTCTGAGCTGCTCTCCTCTCCTCTCCTCAATCTTATGATTTATTTAAAAGAGAAAAACTGTGATTACTATGGCTATGGCTGAAACGCACTCTTTATGTATGCTTTTGAGAAAACCATGTATACTGATTGGAAAGGACTGGAGTCCCTGGTTTTAGTGGTCTGTCAAATATGGGCAGATTGCCAGATTGTATACTGTTGTTGGTGGCCCCGAAATGACTCTTTTCTCTAGGCCACATGGATGCATGCATGTGTTATGGCCAAGAGTAAACACTTAAATTGCCTTTGGTTCATAATTTGTTTGGTTGGTTAGTCGACTACACTGTAATTACACACTTCTCCACTCATATTATCTCTTCTGTAATGAGTTTAAAGCAGGATTTCCAAGGCAGTGTTGTCTATATATGAAAACTCAATAGTAATAATAGTATAGTGTGACCATAAAATCCACAAATTCTACAAAATCGCCAAATCCCCAACTTTGAATCTATATTTTCAACATCAATATATATAACTCCATAAATTCTATTGTAGGCAGTACTAGAGAGAGTTTCTGCCAGCCACAGGTCACTAATCAAGTTTCAAGCACTTTAAACACCACAAAATCCTCGTCGTTTTGACATCTATTCTACTAGCCTTCAGATCTCTCCTGCAATAAACACCATTCCTCACATTTTCAGCAACTTCAAACAGATCTCTCCTGCATAAACACCATTCCTCACATTTTCAGGTAAATTATTTTAGGTCTTTTGAATATATATATATATATATATATATATATATATATATATATATATATATACACAAGCATTCTTAGGCACTTACAGAATGGGGATGAGACAGGCTCCCACTTCGACTTCGACTTCGGCTGGGGCTGGGCTCTCTACTCACAGAATGGGGATGAGATAGGCTCCTACTTCGGCTTCGGCGGGGGCTGGGCTCTCTACTCGTTGCAGCATGTTTCTTCCCCTGAGCCTACATAATACCAAAAGTCAGTGCTAGTTAATCAACACTATATAAAGGGAGCAAAATGCTTTGCATTATAAATTACTTACAGGTGATGCTGGAGATTTAGATCTTGACACAGATCTGTAAAAATTCAAAAACAGCACATTTAGTAACATGGAAACCGAATGTATCCAATTCTAAGCCCAGACCATAACATGATTTCTTCAGTGAATCTCAGCACCACTCATCATTTCTATAAGCTTCATTTGAATCTGAGCAAGCTTACATTGACCACATAAATGGGCAGTTCCTGCCAGCATATATATAAGCTAAAGACAGACCAAGAAATCATTATTGTCTCATTCTGTTAAATTCCACTATAACCAGACCATAATGGAAGCAAGATTAGTTTTCCTGGATTTCCAGTACTGTTAATTGCTAGCAACATTAGCACAAACATGATTCACATTAATGTGTCACATCCATAGAGATCCACCACATAAAGCATTTAATAAAATGCAGTTTACCATCCAGGTTCTGTCGAGGGCTGTTATCAACTACACAGCACACTGCCACAACCAAATGAGTTGCATCATTGCATGAATTTCAGCACCATAACCATCAAGTCCTAACAAGCAATCCCCAGATCGCTGCGGATAGCCAAATCTAGAAAAGAAAAAAAGCAATTTTCATAAAATCGTATATTAACCGCGAAACTGACAAACTCCTCTCATGTTACCCCTCCAAGAGACCAATTATATCATGAGCCCCAGCTCACCATGTATGCTGAACACTGGGTTGAATTTTTATCACATTAGTGATAATAAATATTGATCACAACTGGCAATGAGTGCTCATTAATTTTAGATGTTCATTGACCTTATAGGTTCGTCACCAACAGCATCTAGCATTCACTAAGGCACACATAGCTATGTAAGCCAGACTCCCTAGTAGACCAACTGCCATTCTGAGAAAGCATGGTGGAGAGGAAGAGATGGAATGGGCTAACAGATCGAAGCATCCCACTGTATGACCTAGATCATACATAAAGCAATTTTTTGTCTATAAAATTATGTAGCCTGAAAAGAAATTATTGATCCACATACCAATGAAAGGAAATATTATCTTTCCAGCCTAAATATCCAAATTGGTAATCAACAAAAATCTCAAGTTCCAAAAACGAAGTACTTTTCTGTAAATTGTGTTGTCTGTATGAAATTATATTTTCAAGTACCGATGAAAAGACATTTCTATGCAATCCTAAGCACCTAATTGGCTAATAAACAAAATGGCAACCAGAGAAGTTTTCATAAGCTCCAAAACATCAACTTTGTCATATGTGCTATCCATCTTGCTGAATTATGCTATAGCAAATCTTGCTGATAAGGCAGTCCCAAGAATGTAGTACAAATAACACCTCGCAATTTTAAATTAAAAGAGTAATATTCATTTCATTATTATGAGGCAATAAAGCCTCAAAAGCCTGCAAAATGGTGTAACTGTAAACAAATTTTCTTTGGTTGTTTGCCAGCTTTAATATTCAATATAGATTCACACTTCATTTTTCTTCTACTTGGTCATTCTAATAACTGAAACATATTTGTAGGCCTTAATTATAAATAACTATAGTGGTTTAACTGACTTGTACAGACCACATTATCCAACATTACAAAACTTAATTAGAAACAATCTTTAGAAAATTGTGTTCAGTATACAAATTAAGTCCAGGTTAGCCTTAGACATATAGTTGGATAATGATTTGACTTTTCTAATCACAAACAACAGCTGGACATTTTTTATTCAAGAAAGAAAATGGCTTGCAAAAACTGACATTTCATCAAAAGCATAAATGCTTTCCTCCACCTTAATTTTTTTTTTCATTTTTTTAATAGTAATTAAACACAGCCAGACATCTCAATAAGGCTGAACAGATTTGCTATGGTAAGCCAAGAAGATAAATTTTCAATTTATACAAAATGCCTGACAAGTGTCATTGCCAAGATTATATCAATGTTATTTTCAGTAAAAATTAGTTCAGTTGTTCACATACACAGCAATATACCAAAATCAGAGTTGATAATATTGACAAATAGAAGAAATAACTCGTTGAAAAAAAACACGTGAAATATAAATACCTTGAAATAGAACGGACAGGAGATATAGACCTCGACCGTGATCTAGATACTGATTTATCCCTTGGGGATACACTGCAAATAATTGTGCATTAGAGAGCAAATCATCTGCTGCAATTGATAATTAAGCATAATTTAACAGTGAAAACCTTCTGCTCTCGCTGCTATGGCGTTTGGGACTCCGGCTTCTTGAGTAATTTCTGCTCCTAGAGTAATATGGATTAGGACTCCCGGAGTAGCTTAGTTTGCTATCATATTTCTCAACCTATAAGCATTCACTGAATTAGAAAATTATTCATACATAAGAACTGACATCAGAGATGGGGTTCGAGACAAACCCGTATGTAAGCACGGGAGTACTGATTTTTGAATAGAGTGTCATCCAGTTTCTTTATCTGCAGTAAGAAAAAAAAAAAAAAAAAAAAAAGAGAAATATAAAATTAAAAAAATTCAGAAACAACTGAATTGGTGAAGACTACATAACTATAGAACTAAAGCACCCACTTGAGTACATTACTAACTTACCGCATACTTCATGTCATCATAGTTTGTATAGTCCACAATTCCTCTCATGCCTAAAATAAAAATAGTTCTCAGAATCAAGAATACAGTGAATACCAGTTGATAACAAAACATCATGAGAAATATCATGCCTACCATCCCGTTCACGATAAACTTGAGAAAAACAGACATCTCCAGCTCGGCGCATGTGATCCTAGCATGACCAAGACAAGTAAATCTTGTTAAGGCAACATTGGATAGTCTCTAAATAATGAAAATCAAACAAATCAACCAGCCAGAAGTATTCTTACCTTCAGATCCTGCCATGAGGCAGAAGAAGGAAGCCCAGTAACCAGAACTGCAAAACAAAACTCTCAGAATCAAATTCTTGATGTACATTTGATTAAAAGATCTGCGCACACATATAAATAACCAACTACTAGGTACATAAGAAAACAAATGATCAGCATAATAAATACAATATCAATTGATCAAAATAAGAAATAAAGAAGTGTTGATGTAAATAAAGATAAAAAAAACCCCATGCTAAATCGCTGACCAAACACAGGCTATTGAAGATTAGTAAATAGTAACTTTCTTTGGGTGTGTGCACAAGTTTGTTTCTATTTGTAATAGATATTCAGTAAATAGGTTTTAAGTCTCAAAAACATTTGAATACATAGTACTTTTATTATGTACAAAACTTAAATAAATTAATAACTTCATTTATGTCCAATTATAAAATAATTATTATAGTTTTTTATCCTTTATTCATGGATATTATAAATATAAAGTATGCAAGCTCATCATGACATTAAACAGATTCAGCTCAAGTTAGAGTAGAAAATGACTAATTTTATAACAAAACTTTAAGACTCAAAACTTAAAAATACCAACAGACAAAAACATTCAAAAAGTTATCCCAGTTCTTCTGGAGAATCAGAACTATAGTTTGGATTCTAGAAAAATGTGCATACCCCGATATTCTGAGCGTCTTGAAACTCCACCACGACTCGCACCACTATAGGTGCTTTTGTGATCATATGATGAAGACCCTCGTCCACCATGTGCTAGTTCAACCTGATTAAATTGATAAAAGCAACATGTTAGAATCAGAAAGCAACAGAAACATCAGAAGGGAAAAACTACATATTACAATAGAATGATAGATGACTAACCCGCAAGCGATGCCCATCAAAGCTATAACCATCACGACCACGAATAGCATCCTCAGCATCACGAGGATCTTCAAACTGAAATAAAAGAAACCATTAAGAAAGTTTCATTAAGAAACAAAACTTGTTCAAATAATCATCTAACAGCTTTTTAAAACCCTAGCATTGAACTCACCTCTACAAACGCATAACCTGGTGGTCTTGATGGAATTTTCAAATCAATGTCAACAATATGCCCATACTGCAGCAAACCATCAAACAGATGTCACATTTATAGTAGGTCCATCAAAATTACAAAAAAAAAAAAAAAAATTAAAATAATAATAATAATAATAAGATAGAACACTAAGAAAACTAGGGTCTTAACTCTCAACAATAACTACCATAACCTTTCTCAATTAGGCACATAATCTAATTATTATGCCATCCTTTAACTCTCTCCCCAATCCCTTCTCTTTTCGTTTTGATAAATTACATTACATGCAGAAAGGTACAAAAGATGGTGATATGGGCATTACTTTCAATTCTAGAAGCACCTCATGTCAAAAATGTACAAGCAAACAGAATACTACAAAATACAAGTGAGGACTGAAATATGAATAGCCCTTATAGAAAGCCATGTACATCAGGACCATAAGTATGCTTTTATCATCTCATAAAATGGAAAACCAACCTTGTAAAACAAATCTTCAACTTCTCTCTCCCGGGTATCTTCAGGGAGATTGCCAACATAAACGGTCCTGCTTAAACGACCCATCACACCTGAAACCATTAGCAAATTTGTCATACTTGGTGAAAAATCATTTTAAAATAAGTATTCTAAGTGGCAAGTGACCTGAAAACTTGACAACGAAAATCGTTTGACGGACAACACTAAAAAAAATTTAATGAAACCAAAAAGATCCCAAATAATTTTTTTTTAAAACCACAGCATTCAAAATAAGCACGATATATTTTATTTCTTCATGCACTCCGTATTAAAGAGGTGAAAAAATAAATAAACGCTGTAGGCAAAACCCTAAAGAGCAGGGTTTTATTTCTCCCAATTTCTTTGTTTAAGCATCCGTCCATGGCAAATCGAGAAGAAACAAACAAACAAAAATAATCAAGAAAGACAGCAAAAATACATTGAAAAATGTAAACGAACAGAAACGAATTACATTTTTGTTCTACTGAAATCAATAATTGCCAGACAGGAAGTTTCAGACACAACGAAAGCACTCCACGATTCCAATTTTTGTTCCCCAGAAACAAATAAAAATAAAAATGGAGTAACAAAAATACCTTAAGCGAGAGAAGCAGGATAGTAGGAGGGAGCGCTGGATGTTCAGAGAAAGAAGCGACGAGAGATTGAGCGAAGGGGAAGTTCAGAAGCATACGGCGTAGTATTATATATATATATATATATATATATATATATATATATATATATATATAGTCCGTATCAGTTTAGTATAGAAAGTAGAAGCATAAAGGTGGGGAGGTGAAGTCATCACTCCACGACACGTATCCTACGACCAAACCCCAAAATTTGAACCAAACTTTTTTTTTTTTCTCTCTCTCTTTTTCGTCCTTTATTAATTTTTGAATTAATTCCACCAAGTCCCTTGTTTTTTATGGCGATTCCAAATTTAATCTCAAATTATCATTTTTACAATTTAACATTTAACATTTTTATTTTTTAAATATTTTTAGTCATTCTCACGACTTTTTCTATTTTTAGTAATAATATTTTTATCTTTTGTTATTTTTCCAGATTTCACCGGTTTAATTAGTTTAGAACTTTAGGTAACCTCTAATTTTTAGTAATCATATTTATTTTTTAGTAAAGTCCTAAATCAATTAAACCGGTTGAAAGCGGAAAAATAACAAAAGAAATATATAAAAAAGACAAAAATGTCCTTACTAAAAATAGGAAAAGTCATGAGAAAGACTTAAAGTGTCTAAAAAATAATAGTCTGGGATGCTGAATGGCAAAAACGATAGTTTGGGACTAACTTTGAATCGCCATAAAAAACAAGGGACCTCTGGTGGAATTAATTCTTTTTTTTTTTGAGTTTATTATACAATTGAGAGTTAGTGACCAAAATGGCAAAATCATCTATTATAGTGAAATTATTGATTTTGTCTCAATTATCATTCTTACCAAATTAAATCCTCAATTATGAAAATCATATTCAATTTTGTCATCTCTTAAGTTGAAATTATCAAATTGGAGGATATTTGTGGTACTTTAGTCGGGTGGCGTCATTTCTACATTTACATCTACAATCTACAAATCTAATAAGAGCAAATAATGTTAGGCCCTTAACTGGAACAAAAAAAAAATGTTTATAGTAGTTATTTCTTAAAATGAATGGTTCATATTATTTTGATTTTAGTATTTTTTAAGATTTTCCTTATTTACCTTCTATTATATTATTTTCTTCCCCTAAATAACCATAAATTCCGTTAGTATAAACTTTAGTAACGGAATATTCCGTTAATTATTTATTATTCTTAACATACTCATTAATTTATATAAGAAAAATCTTAGGTTCGAATCACATCCCAATTAGAGTTGGCATAATTGTTAAACATATATTATGAATATATTAAAATGTATTAAAAATATATAATATAAAATTTAACATAAACTTTGGTCAAATAATTAGTCCGACTAAATACATAACATTCAAAGTTGAGCATCAAATATTATAAATCAGGAACTTTAAAAATCATTTGATTTTCTTGAAATTTTTTTTTAAAAAAAAAACACATTTAGGTTAACTTTTTTTTTTTTTTTTACGTTTAATTAATCTTCGTTTCATTATCCCGAACGAAACTTAATATTTCAATTATACTTTTGCATTATTGGAATGGTTTAGGTTAGTATGATATTAATATTTTGTGTATTTTCTTTTTATAATGGTACAATTGTACATTACTTTACAAATATTATATTATTATTTTTTTTATCGGACAAAATTGTTCTTATATCATTGTCAGACCTGTGCGACCTAACTACAAAGTTGTTGATCATAAATACAATTACACATGGACTATAAAACGGTAGGAGCATTTTCCAAATAATTGACAATGTTAACATCATACTAGCTCCAATTGAACAAGTTTACACATCAGAATTTTATCAATGCATGAAAACTGCTAAAGAAATTTGTAAGTTAATTTTTACTATATCATTATAACAATATATATTGTAACAATATATTTTAAATTATTTATCATCATTTTCTATTGACAACAATTGTCATTTACAAACTTTCAAAACAAATTGTATCAACAAGGAATGAAGATTTTTATAAAAAAAATCATTGATTTCATTATTGTTGATGAAAAGTATGTACGGCACTTTATTACTCATATTAAATTAAATAAATTAGTTGCTACAACAAAAAATAATACATATGCATTTAATTAATTTAGAATTAGATGTGGTCTAATGGTACCCGGGTTAGACTTCCATTTGGAAGGTTGTGAGTTCAAGCCTCAGTGGAGGCGTTATTGGCTCTTGGTGTTTCAGTAGGTTGAGAAAGTATATGAACAGATCCTACAATCTAATAGAATTAGATGTTTATAATGCTTTATTTAAAAAAAAAATATTCATTATAAAAAAAATTTAAAAGAAATATAATTTCATTAGTTATATTGTCTTTATTTTCTACAATTCAAAGATTCCTTATCTTTTTTTTTTTTTTTGAAAATAAAGATTCCTTATCTTCAAATTTATTAATTTGTTATATTCACTACATTGTCCATTGTCTTTCTTTTACATTATCTTGTAATTAAATATCAAAGTTATAATACAAAACATGTTATATATATTTATTTACCAAGTATTTTATACAAATATAATAAATATTAATATTTTGTTTAATACTTTCACATGATAACCTACGACACACATCTTACAACACATAAAACATGTAGGGGAAAAACTACAACTACTAAATATCAATAGGTGTTTATAAGATAAAGAGTTCATATTACAACTAAAATCTCCATCATATACACAACAAGGCAAATCTAAAGCTTCCTACACCGTAATCTCATTGCATGATGAATCTCTCTATGCTGCTACCAGTAACCTAATTGCACATGACACACTACAAATTAAAAAAAAAAAAAAAATAGAAGACATGTACTGAAAATTAAAACAATGATAATGCTACCTAAAAGAGAATTAAGAAGAATTAGAGAAATTTAAAACAAAAGTAGTATTTATTTAGACTATCGCTTTAAGACTAAGTGTTTAGATTAACGTTATTACAAAGTTGCAAACATTTATTTTAGTGACAATTATAATCAATATCTCATATATTATCTTGATTTTATATACTTTAAATTATCAATTTAAATAAACAAATTCAACATTTATTTACCTATGCATAAAAATCTCCTATATAATATTGCATTGATATACTTTGAAAATTGAAATTAAATACTTATTTAAAAATAGTCATTAAACATTATCTCATTCGCGCAAAGCGTGTAAAAAAACTAGTATTGTTTATAAGATATTAAAACCCTAATATGAGCGTCACTTTCTTCTATCATTTTCTAAGCTTCAATCTAACCATCTTCTTAAATCCAAAATTTCAACACCACTTTTATAGTTATGTTACCTATGTATACTCACAATAATGCGAGAAAGGGTCGTTCAAGGGTTCACTATGGTGAGGCAAAATCCATCCCTAATTGTCAATTTTTCAAAGATTGAATGTGTGAACATTATGGACGAAAAAAAAAAAAAAAAAAAGGAGAAGAGATTGGAAATGAACATCTGATAATCAAATGAGTAAAAGTGGAGTAGTTAATTCATTAATTTTTCTTTTTTTGTATACTCACTAACTTTGTGTATGGGGAGAGGTGGTGGATGTGAATTTGTGAGATGGTTTTATCCTTTAATATGTTCAAGATCCAGGACAATTATTGAAATGAGCAAAAAATTAAAAGCCTAAAATCAAAGCTAAAAACCCACTCATACTACCATGGTTCAAAATTTCGGGTGAAATCGAAATCAATGTGTTGGTTTAGCGTTTTGACTGTTTTGTTTGTTTTGGTAGAAGGGATAGTGTTATGTAATTTAAAGGCTTAAAATGTTAGGGGTCGTTTGGTTCACGGAATGTCAGCTTACCTTAGAGAATGTTAGATTGCTGGGAATATTAGATTACTGGGAATGTTAGATTCCTGTGTTTGGTTAAAATTGGGGCATGTGATATAATCATGTTTGGTTTAGGGTTATCTTTTATACACACTATAATATCCTTAAGATAACCAAGGTTATCTTAGATTACCTAAGATTTTGAAGGGAATCACATTCCCTTCAAAATCCTATGTGGAGGGAATGTTGCATTCCTTGGGAATGTTAGATTCCCTAAGATAATATGAACCAAACACCGGAATGTGAGCTTTGGAATGTCACATTCCCTTGGTTATGTTATATAACCTAAACCAAACGCCCCCTTAGGGTGTGAACGCTTCATCTAGCTTAAGATGGTTGAGAGTGTATGTCTTGACTTAGAGCTGTCAAGGCGGGCTGGCGGGGCGGGCTAAAAAGCCCGTCAAGAATACGGGCCTAGATAGGGGCAGCCCTCCCCGCCCTCCGTTAGGCCCGCGGGCCCCCGCCAAAGTCCACCTATTTTTTTTTTTTTTAAATCATGTGTGATGTGTTCTTAAAATCTAAACTCTAATGTGACTATGTTAATAACTTAATTGCTATCTACTTAAAACACTTATTCATAAGAAAATAACATAAATTCGTTCATCATATCATGACAATAATGACACCGATAGGGGTAAGTATAATTACCGAAAAACTGATAACCGACTGATAATTTCGGTTATCGGTTATAAGACAAAAAAAAAATTCGATTCGGCTATTCGGTTATGAAGGTGTAATAACCGCGATCAGCGAATAACCGACACTATTATTTATAGTATTATATTATATATATATATATATATATATAACTAAAAAAAAAACGGGCAGGCGGGCTAGCCCGTCAGCCCGCCCCGCCAAGCCCGCGGGCTAGGCGGGGCGGGCAAAAAAGCCCGTTCTTCAAAAACACGAGCCCACCCCGCCCTTTTGGTGGGCGGGGCGGGAAAGCCCGGCGGGCTAAGCCCATTTTGACAGCTCTATGTCTTGTAATGGTTGATTGAAACCCTTGTACGTTGTTGAATGGAATTTTGGTTGAATTGAGATGTAATCATTATATTTTGATGGAATAAAATCATTGCTTTATAATAGGGGTGTAAATGAGCCGAGCTGAACTCGAGCGGCTCATTTAATAATCGAGCTTGAGCCGAGCCTAATTATTCTAAGTTCATGGCTCGTCGAGCCGCTTGCGAGCCATAATAATAATAATAATAATAATAATAATAATAATAATAATAATAATAATAATAATAATAATAATAATAATAATAATAATAATAATAATAATAATATTATTATTATTATTATTATTATTATTATTATTAATTTGTCTCCCTCGTATCGTCTTGATGAACCCGTTCCATCATGGTGTCATTGGTGCCCGTCTTCATCAGCTTTCGCGACTTCGTCTTTCTCTCTCTCTCTCTCTTTCACTTTCGGCGGCTGTGGTTGTAGATGGTGAAGTGACGGTGTTGTTGATGTTGAAATGTTGAGGATGAAGTTGATAAGGATGAAGGATGAAACTGATAAGGGAATAATTAGTCAGGTTTTTAGGTTATTTGTGTTCCTTTTTTTATTTTGTGGGCTTATTATTAAGTTTAGTTTATATGGTGTTTGGGCTATGGGTCATGGGGTTAGTTTCATATTTTGGTATGAGTTGAGTCATTGCTTGTTCAATGTGAGTAAACAGGGGTGTTGCAGTGATGAGCAGCACGGGTGCCAGGAGGGATGCAGACCTGACATATGTCGCGGCAGTTATGGAAGGCCGATGGCTGAAGAAGAATTGTTCAGGATGAACCAAGAAGAAGAATGGTTCGAGATGAACCAATTTGTGTAATGCACCAGGAAAACAGGAAAACACTGGTGTTGGGCAACGCTAATAATGGTTTGTGGTGCAAGAAGCAGGAACATTGTGTTGTTAGGCAGTGTTAATAACGGTGTGGGGTGTGAGTGGCAGGTGCGCTGTGGTGTTTGGCCTGGTTTTGGCTTCGTGGAAGCTTTGTTGGTGCGACAAGTTGAGCTGTGTACTGATTTGACACAACGTGATTTGAAGATTGTTCAAGTGGTTTGAGACCTAGGTGTTGGTCTCGAAGGTTATGACTCTAGATGTGAAGTCCTATGACTCATGTTATATTTGTAACAAGCTGTGCATGATTGATATATATGCTCCAGCTTGAGGGGAGTGTTAGAAGTGAATAAGATAGGGTTGTGAATGGCCATGACATATGAAAAGTGAATACGATAGGGATGTGAAGGGCCATGACATATGAAGAGTCATGGGATGTGAAGGGTCTTCTATCGTGTGTTTAGCATGTATATATATGGCAGTGTGTTTGTGTAGTTAGAGATAATAGTATGAAATAATAGAGAGTACTATTTCTTAACATTGTCCAAATATAATGCATAAAAATTTAACAAAGAAAGAATACAATTCAAAAGTTAATTTAAAAGTGTCATTTTTCGTTCATATTTAAATACAAAATTATTCACCAAAATTTCGATGTCAATTCATTTAAAGTTTTATTTTCAATTACAATTAAGACTAATCTATGAATTTAAAATAAAAATAAAAATTATCAAGTACAAAAAATAATAGATTATATCTCAAATATTTTTTTAAAAAATTAAGTCCCCACAAATTGGAGGCCCTGTGGGGTCGCACGGTCCAGACAGGGTCATGATTGACCTTGCAGTCAAATACCAATGCATGAACATTTTTATATAATTTTACATCAATATAATTTAAAGTACTTATTTAAAAATAATTCTATCTCGTTTGCGCAATGCACATGAAAATTTAGTTAGAAAAAAAAAAAAAAAGAAAAAGAGAATGGTTAGAGTCGAGGAAATTTCAATTTTGGTCATATGTCTATAGGGGTCTTGTTAATTTCAGTCCTTGATTTTTAAAAGTGTCAATTTAGTACCTTAACTATGCAATTTTTGTCAATTTTGGTCACTTCGGCCAAATTGCCGGTCAAATTTCGCCGAAAAATTTTAATTGTTAAAATAATGAGGGTATTTTGATCATTTCACGTCTCTTTTCTTCTTCCCAGGCGAGTCCATCCCTTCCTCTCCCATTTCCGGTGAATGCAATGAACTAAGATGATGGAGAAATGAAGCTTGATGGTATTAAAGATAGAGTTTAGAAGGAGAAAGAACGCCGGAAACGGGAGAAAAAGAGATAGACTCGCCGGAGAAGAAGAAAAGAGGCGTGAAACAACCAAAATATCCTTATTATTTTAACTATTAAAATTTTCCGGCAAAATTTAACCGGCAATTTGACCGGGTGACTGAAATTGACAAAAGAGTAAATACCCAAAATGGTCCCTCGACTATAACTAAATTCACAAAATGGTCCTCGACTTTCAATTTCAACCAATTAAGTCCTTAACTTTGCAATTTTGACATGATTTGATCCTCAATCTATTTGACCGTTTGTTGACCGTGATCAACGATCTCCAGAAGAACCTTCAGCTCTCGTCGGAGCACGTGGAGGCCTCTAGGATGATGTTGCACTGGTTCGGAAACACGCTGTCTTCTTTGCTCTGGTACGAACTCAACTACATTGAATCTAAATGGAAGATGAAGAAAGACGACCGGATTTGGTAGATTGCTTTCGACAGTGGATTCAAATGTAACAGTGCGGTCCGAAAATGCAACCGGAACTTTAAAAAACCGATGATGGACCAAGAAATTACATATATATCCTCAAAAATCACAGTCAACAAATGGTCAAATAAATGGAGGATTAAATCGTGTCAAAATTACAAAGTTAAGGACTTAATTGGTTGAAATTGAAAATCGAGAATTAATTTGTGAATTTAGCTATAGTCGAGGGATCATTTTGGATATTTACTCTCGACAAAATTACATAGTTAGGCGTAGATAACAGAGGCAGCAATTTCCTGAGGGTGGTGGGGAGCGTTATTTCTTTTAATTTTTTTTTTTTTAATGTTTTAATGCTTAAAAGGTGCGCGCCCACCGTTTTTGTGTTTTCAGAATCAAAATCGGCCTTCTCCTCTTGTTTTTCGGTTTTTCCACAATATAAAGAAGGATCCCTTCTTCCTCTCCGGTCAACATTTCATTCCTCCTCGTTTTCCTTACGCATTCTCTTCGTCCTCAACCCCCTAGCTACCCACCTTTCTCATCTCTTCAACCAAAGATGCCTGAATCTAACTCTACCCCCAAGTCCACCTTCGATTCCGTTAAAGAATGGGTCTCTGATCATAAGCTTCGCACCGTTGGTATGCCTTCTTCATTCTTCCTCTAATCTCAAACGGGCTTCTTTTATTCTACTCTATTTGTTAATAATTTGTTGAATTTCGTTTGAAGGGTGTTTGTGGCTCAGCGGTATTACGGGATCTATTGCGTACAATTGGTCTAAGCCCAACATGAAAACCAGTGTCAGAATCATTCACGCTAGGTATACTATTGTTTATTTTATTTTATTTTTTCAAATCGCAGTGGAAATATATTCTCCCTCTGATGATGGATTGTTTGTAAGTTATTTCCTTTGGTTTCAGTATTTTTTTTTTTTTTTTTAATTTGTTGAATTGTTTCATAAATATGTGTTCCAATATGTATATTTGGTGAACATAAAATTTGGGAGATTTAATTTTGGTGATCTTAATCATCTATTTCAAGATGGAGGTGGCAGTTTGGTGGGGGATTGGTTAAAGAAAGGAATGGCTTCCAAATGTTTTCACACCCAACATAACAAATCCTTTTTTTGGTTAAACCCTTTTTCCTAATTTCAACAGACACAACAAATGGCTCCTTAGTTTTCCCTCTCAATATTATGTGTCTGCTGTGGTGTTTGTCTTGTATAACTTGTTTCTTTTTGCCGATATGAGTCATAGTATGTTTTAATGGATTTTTGGTTTCTATCTGATACTCTAATGACTTTCTGAGGTGATTTTTTTTTGAATGTAGTTAAACTTCCATCTTGTAGTATCCATCCTAGCAGGATTGCATCTAGTCTTGCTTAAAAATGACCAACTCTATGCATACTAAGGGTCCATTTGGAAAGCAGGAAAATGACTTCTGGAAAATGTTTTCCGGAAAATGACTCGTTTTCTGGAAAACATTTTCTTTTCCCGTGTTTGGTTGTATTTTGAAAAATATATGAATGGATGGAGACTGAGGAGTCGAAGGCAACCATGATTTGAGTGTTGGTGGAAAATGACTTACGTCAAAATTTGGCAAGTCATTTTCTGCAAAAATGCCTACATTTTCCCTAGTCAATGGAAAATGTTTTCCGTTGACTGGATTTTCCTACTGCATCCAAACACTGAAAACTTGGAAAACATTTTCCAAAAGTCATTTTCCGGGTTTCCAAACGGACCCTAAGGGTGTTAACCAACAATGGTGCTCTGTTTAAGCTTTGATTTTCTCTGGGCAAAAGTCACAAAACACAATATCATACCACACACTTTGCATGCTTGCCACTAAAACTATAAAACAAGGAGCGCATATGGCATTATCTTAAGAAAGTTTACCACTGTAGATTTTGATGATGTGATCTTCTCTGGACAAAACACAAGATCACTCCTTAGTTTTCCTCTCAATATTAAGTGTCTGCTCTGATGTTTGTCTCTTGTATAACTTGTTTCTTTTTGATGATATTAATCATAGTATGTTTTAATGGATTTTTGGTTTCTATCCGATACTCTAATGACTTTCTGAGGTGAAGTTATTCTATGACAGTATCTTAAGAAAGTTTATGGCTGTAGATTTTGATTGTTGAATGTCTAATTCTTGTTGTTTGATAATTAGTTTAGGACACATTATATTTGTAAAACTAGTTGTATACCCTTGAATTTAAACATCTACACCTACAATATTACAATATTTTAGTGCTATTGTTGACATAAACGAGTAATTAATTTGTTAATGGACCTGCTACGTGTGCTTGTTGTTTAGTCTTAACTCTTAACAAGCATGGGGTGGCTTGTGCTGCTTATCCTAAAGATATTGACTAGGAAGAGTTAGAGGGATGAGGAGAATGAACATGAGAGGGCATGGTAACCTGTAGGGTGTGGTTGAGTGGAAGGGACTCACCAAAGGTCAAGGGTTCTATCATTGGCTTTGGGAATGGAGCAGCCTTAAATCTCCAAGCTAGTTGTCCCATCCAAAAGAGGTGCCTACAATTCAGCGAGGGGATTAGTCACTGTGTCTGACGGTGGAAACCTTGGGTATACCCAAAAAAAAAAAAAAGGAGAGGGCATGGTTGACAAAATAAGGAGAGTAATCTGTGGTGGTGACAGTAAGGTGCCGCTAGTGCCTAGTGGGATAAGGGTAGGTTTTGGTCTTTTGGGTAGAGACTATTGGAGGGGATTTGTAGAAACAAGGGACAAATTCTTCGTTTAACCTACAGAGCTTTATCTTCTTGTCTGTCTATACCATCTCATGCTTTTTCAATACGCGTATTAAACGCCTTGTTTATTTAATTTCAGGTTGCATGCACAGGCTTTTACCCTTGCTGCTTTAGCTGGAGCAGCTGTGGTGGAGTACTATGACCACAAGACGGAGAAAACTGACCGCTATGCCAAGTTTCTGGGCGTAGATAAGTGAACATACAGTTTTTCTCATGTGTACCGCCTTTCTGAACCAGTCAGGGAGCTCATATATTACCCAGTTATGAACTCTTAGAAGCCTAATCCTTTTGTAGCTTTTGAGTTGAATCAGTTCCTGATCTCATTTCTTTAAAAGCATTTAATCACTGTATTTTTTATTTTTTATTTTTTATTTTTGCATGTTAGTGTACACGATTAGTGCAACAGGTTTACAATGTTGACAAATTGGAATAAAACACTTCTCTCTTCAAATTATCCGTGTAGATTTCATGAAGTGATGATACAGCCAGTTTCAAACTCTTTCATTTAGGGTTGTTTGGTGACTAGCTAATCATATACATTGCCGCCATGAAATATGAATCTTGTTGGAGTTTCCTTGTCTTTTATGCATTGCCGCCATTAAATATAATCTTGGTGCAGTTTCCTTGTCTTTTATTTAAAATTAAATATAATAATCTTGTTTAATGGCGGCAATGCATATAATTATGTAGTGTGACTGTGTGAGCCTGTGAGGTGATGAATGCATATAATTTTGTTTAATGCCTATGTGGGAGGTGATGAGTTCGAGCTTCGGTGAAGGCGTAGTAGCTTGTATATTTAGATATCCCCTTCCCTTGTAATAAAAAAAATTAAAGGAGAAATTTCCCGAACTTAAAAATAAAATTATATTTTATAGGAAATGAAACATTTAGTTACATAGTTTTGATTTTAGTATAAACTAGTATTTGCACCCGTGCGATGCACGGAATGGATTTGTTGTAATATATTAAGAATATATGAATCGATATATAATTATTTAAATTAGAACATCAAATATTATATAAGAATTATATAATGCAATTAAAGATATGATTTGAATCGTTTATATATTTTGATGTTATTATTGCTTAAATTTGTGCAAATAATTGCTCAAATTAATAGCTAATGTCTAGATGTACGGATGCGGCCCTATAATTTTGAAGATTTTATTTGTCATTGTTTAGTATTTTCATACATTAGGCAAATGTGCTCGTTCTCTAACAACTCAGTTATAGAAATGAATTGCGTGTTATCCTTATTCATTTGTATGGAATATATATTCTTTTGTCTAGATATATAACAATTTTTTCATTTAAAAAAAATTAATATCACCGATTATATTTACACATTATTGAAACCGCTTTGTAGACAATATTGGTAGTGACAACACAATATTGTTCATCTTCGTCTAGAGCTAACATCTTCTCCATCAGGAAGGGTTACTTGGGTGAAAATATATAATGGTAGAATATCACTCAATTAGTTATCCTTTTATATTTTCAGTCAATTCGTAATATCAGATTCATTTTCAGCCAATTATTCTTTTTTATTTTCAGTCAATTAGAATATCAAATGCAGTGATATTTTTACCTAACTTTCGTTCCATTTTTAATTTAAGATGTAGATATTATTATTGAAATATTTCCGTTCTATTTTTAATTTACCTTTACTATTGTTTAAAATATGCATTTACTATTGATAATGTAGAATATTATTATTGGAATATTTTCCTCCAATTTTTAATTTCCATTCTATTTTTAATTAAAATGCAATGATCTTACCATTTTTTTAGTCAATTACAGATCATTTTTTATTTGCAGTCAATTATTAATATTCATTTCCTTTTATATTTTCAGTCAATTAGTAATATTAGATTCATTTTCAGTCAATTATTCTTTTTTATTTCCAATCAATTAGTCAATTAGAATATAGATGCAATGATATTTTTACCTAATTTTCGTTCCATTTTAATTTGATGATGTAGAATATTATTAATGAAATATTTTCGTTCCATTTTTAATTTATCTTTACTATTTTTTAAAATATGTCTTTACTATTTGATGATGTAAAATATTATTATTGAAATATTTCCTTTTCATTTTTAATTTTTCTTTATTTCTAACCAAAAAAAAAAAAAAAAAAAAAAAAAAAAAAGGAGAAGAAGAGACTTTGGACTTCTCAATACTTGCCCACATTGATTTTTTTATTTTTTATTTTGGTAAACCCAGCCGTCAATCACAGTGACTAATCCCCTTGCTAAATTGTAAGCACCTCTTTTAAGTGGGACAACTGGTTTAGAGATTTAAGGCTGCTCCATTCCCAAATCCAAGGATCAAACCCTTGACCTTTGGTTAAGGATAGATGAGTCCCTTACACTCAACTACACCCTTCCAGTTACTTGCCTACATTGATGGGCAAGCAATTATGTTTGTAAGGGGAGCATTGCTCCTCTTTCCAAACATTTTCAATGTGAGATCAAAATGATCCCACATCATTTACAAAGGGAGCCCGTGACTCCCTTTTGTCTTCTTCTAATTTTTTTTAAAATTTTAATTTTATTTTGTATATCCTTTTGTTTGGATGATTATTATTATTATTATTATTATTATTATTATTATTATTATTATTATTATTATTATTATTATTATTATTATTATTATTATTATTATTATTATTATTATTATTATTATTATTATTATTATTATTTGATTATTGACAAATTCGTCATTTTAACAATTTATCTTTAATCAAAACACCAAAAATATTATTTAATAACTAAGTAATTTGCTCCAAACTGCTAAAAACTAAAACAACACATACATTTTGGGTTAATCTTTCCTAACCCCCAATAATAAATAATAAATAATAAATAAATAAAATTAAAATAAGAAGACAAAACTAATGTTTCTTAACTAAGAAACTTTTAACTTCTCAATATTCGCCACATCGATGAGCAAACAATTATGTTTGTACCTCTTAATATAGAGGAGCTCAAGAGCTCATCTTTTCAAACATTTTCAATTTAGGATGAAAATAAACTCACATCATTTACAAAGGGAGCCTGTGGCTCCCCTTTGTTTGTTTGTTTTTTTTTTTTTTTTTGTTAATTTTAATTTTATTTTGTATATAGTTTTGTTTGGATTATTATTATTATTATTATTATTATTATTATTATTATTATTATTGTTATTGTTATTGTTATTGTTCTTATTGTTGTTGTTGTAATTTGATTATTTGGCAAATTCACAAAAATTTTAAGAAATTCGTTTGTTTAATATTTTAAATTTAATCAAAAAATCAAAATATTATTTAATAACTTAGCAATTTGCTTCAAATTGCTAAAAACTAAAACAACACGTACATTTTGGGTTAATCTTTTCAAACCCCCACTACTAATAAATAAATAAATAAATAATAATAAATAATAAATAATAAATTAATCAATAAATTAATAAAAACTAAAATAAGAAGACAACGCTAAAACTTCTTAAATAAGAACCTTTTGACTTGTCAATACTTGCCGACATTGATGTGCAAGTAATTATGTTTGTAAGAGGAGTTTTGCTCCTCTTATATAGATGAGCTTTCTCTTTTCAAACATTTTCAAAGTGTGATCAAAATGATCCCACTCATTTGCAAAAGGAGTCCGTGACTCCTTTTTTTTTTTTTTTTTTTTTTTGTTTAAATTTTAATTTTATTTTGTATATAGTTTTGTTATTGTAATTTGATTATTTGAAGAATTATTCAAAATTTTAAAAAATTCGATTGTTTAACATTTTATATTTAATCAAAACATAAAAAATATTATTTAATAATTTAGCAATTTGCTCTAAAGTGCTAAAAACTAAAACAACAAATATACATTTTGGGTTAATCTTAGTCAAACCCCCTAATAAATTAAAAAAAAAAAAACTAAAATAAGAAGCCATTAAAATAAGGTTTCTTAAATAAGAGCATTTTGAAACGTTGGGCTTCAATAGGTTGAGAAAGTCTATATGAACAGATACTACATGTAACACGGTGAATCGAATAGTTATGATGTGGAACCGTGTCCACTTTGCAAGGTGGACACAGTTCTATGTTCATAATTACTGAACTATATGTTCATAATTATAAAGCTAAATATTCAGAATCTTTGAACTTCATATTCATAATTATTGAACTCTATATTCACAACTACAAAACTCTATGTTCATAATTACTAAACTATATGTTCATAATTATAAAGCTATATATTCATAATTTCTAAACTTCATATTCACAATTATTGAATCTCTATATTCATAATTACATAACTATATGTTCATAATTATGTTCACAACATTATGTTCATAATTTTAGAACTATATATTCATAATTATGATCAATTTTAGAACCGTGTCTACCTTGCTAGGTGGACATAATTCCACAGCATAATTTGACGTGTCAATAGTACTCAAAAAATAAAATATTTGCCTTTGGACTTCTCAATACTTGTCCACATTAATGGACAAACAAATTATATTTGTAAGAAGAGCATTGCTCCTCTTATATAAAGGAGCTCAAGAGCTCCTTTTCCAAATATTTTCAATGTGAGATCAAAATGATCCAACATCATTTACAAAGGGGAGCTCGTGGCTCCTTTTTGTCTTTTTTTTTTCTTTTTTTTTTAATTTTAATTTTATTTTGTATATCGTTTTGTTTGGATGATGATGATGATGACTATTATTATTATTATTATTATTATTATTATTATTATTATTATTATTATTATTATTATTATTATTATTATTATTATTATTATTATTATTATTATTATTGTTGTTGTTGTTGTTGTAATAAATGTTTGTATATCGTTTTGTTTGGATATATATATTCATAATTTTTGAATTTCATATTCACAATTATTGAATCTCTATATTCATAATTACATAACTATATGTTTATAATTATGTTCACAACACTATGTTTATAATTATAGAACTATATATTCATAATTATGAACAATTTTTGAACAGTGTCTACTTTGCAAGGTGGACACGGTGCCACAGCATAATTTGTCGGGTCAATAGTACCAAAAAAAAAAGTCTTTGGACTTCTCAACACTTGCTCACATTGATGGGCAAGCAATTATATGTTTGTAAGAGGAGCAATGATCCTCTTATATAGAGGAGCTCAAGAGCTCCTCTTTCCAAACATTTTCAATGTGGGATCAGAATTATCCCACATCATTTATAAAGGGGAGCCATCTTTGTCTTTGGTTTCTAATTTATTAAGTAATAGACTAATTATTATTAATAATAATCTATATCTATATCTATATCTATATCTGTATATATACTTCTATACTATCTTTTTTTTTGAAAGGTTCTATACTATATATACTATAATTAAAAACAAAATTATATTTATTTGATTTCCTACCCAAACAAATGAAACAATAATAAATAATAAAGGTAAATTAAAAATGGAATGGACATGTAATGACCTCTCCTATGTGGGAGGTTATGAGATTCAGACTCAGTGGAGGCGTTGTTGACTTTTTGTGCTTTTC